AGGCTGACAAATGGGCTAAATCTCATGATGATTTGGAATCCTCACTTCAGGATGATTCTTCAGTCTAACACCAGACTAATTTGGACCCCCTTTCCTTTGGTATAAAGATAGTTAAATAATCAGCCATTGCATACCAAATACAGTCTGTGGCTTTTCCCATGGTTTCTTTGACAAAGATGTGTGGGAATTGAGTGAGTTGAAAGAAGATAATTTAAGTTAGGGATGGCTAGGAAATATATTTTTGTGAATCTAGACCCTTTTAATGTAATTTTGTTTATATTTCATTAAGAATGATAAGTATCTTAGATATTAGACAGCTGTATAAATCTAAACAATATGTACAGTTAATATATTCTAAGAGCAGGGCATGGGATATGATCTCTGCTTAAGTACAGGCCAGACTGCTTCATTTGAGTCTCACCATTAAAAGCTATTTTTAGAAAATAGAAAACTTCACACTGCAGAAAATCTAGTTAGGAGCTATTTTCAGACAGAGGCTTCAAAGTAGCAATGCCCCTCAGCGAGGATGCTCTTGATCGCAATGTATGTTCATTATTCACCTTATGACTGATGTTCCCTACTGCTCCCTTCCAAAAAGAAAAGTCACATGCCTGTGCGAAGTGCAGGACGTGAAGACAGCCATGCTGAAGAGCTTACCTTTCCTAGCTCCACCAAGGTGCATGGAAGCTTTGCTGTTGATTTCATTAGGATCAGGGTCTAGACAGTAGTATAATTAGCATGGGTAAATTCAGTATGCACCCAAGGTTCGGGACTTACATTACAGCACTTTTGTTGGAGGGGCTCAAAACACTTTGCAGGCACCAACTGATTCAGAGACAGAAAGAGGTAGCATTGGTCCCATTTTACAGAGGGGGAAGCTGAGGCGGAGCGGAGGGGGGCGCCACAGGCCATACTGGTGATACAGGGGGCTAGGACCCCCTCATGCTGCGCTAAGCACTGAAGGATTACGGGCGCCACAGGCCATACTGGTGATACAGGGGGCTAGGACCCCCTCATGCTGCGCTAAGCACTGAAGGATTACGGGGGCGAGGCTGAAACACCCCACCAATGGGCTGACTCGGTGGGGGGGGGGGGA